TCATCTGATCTCCAGTCAAATCTTTATCCTTCGTTGCAGACCAAAAGGGGAATTTTAAAATCATCACGGACAAAAGAAATCATGAGATTCTGAATATAGAGCGGCTGGTCGGTGGGAATTCCCCAGAATATTCGTCCTTCCTCGCGAAATAAACACAAAGGCATTGAAGAAAATGAGAAAGTATAAACACCACACGTTGCAACTGGAAGTTCCAAAAAAAAATAAATGGTCAGAGTATCCCTGACGGGTTGGAGGTATCTGGTATAAAAGCCCGAACCATCTCCATTGCCATCAGTCCTCTACTAGTGAATCGAACCTATAATTCCACAGAAGAACCAGAAGAAATCCGAAAAATGAAATTCATCATCGTGTTATCCATGATTGGAGTCAGTGCGTTAGCACAACCTTTATCAGAGATTACCAATAATCCCGGTAATTCCCTTAATTAATTAAATTAATTTATAAATGAAAGATCCCATCAATTAAACCGCTGACCGACAAATTATTCGACCTATAAAAATGTGGAATGCGGAATTAATTTATTTCTGCGGACTTTAGGTCCTGAAATTGCATCGAAATTCGAAAGAGTCATCAGATCTGCAGATCCAGGATATGGATATGGTCAATATTATGGGGGCGGATATAATGGGCATTACGGAGATGATTACGACAGGTATGGCAGCCGCTACGGCTATGGCGGCTACCATGGACCCTATGGTGGATACCATGGAGACGATTATGATGGATTTGATGATCATTATGGTGGCGGATATGGAGGATATTACAGTCACCGTTACTAATGGTAATATCATCAGTAATTAAATATTTTAACACCTGATATTTTCACCGAAAACAGAGGTGCTCATTTGTCCCATTTCTAGTGAATGAAATATTTTCCCATGGAAAAATTTCAATAATTTATTGTCTAAAATGAAAAATCCTATCATCATTTTATTTTATTTCTGCTGTCGTCCTGATATATTGAAAATTTATATTCACAGAAGACGAGGCACTTGAAAGCTGACAA